GTACAGTGCGAGTATACTTCCCAGTACCAGCTCTCAACCCACTCAACATGGCAGCGGCGCTGCGCATCGCCTGTATCTCCCGGGTAATCTCATAGCGACGGCGCGAGAGTGAAGTGACGCTTCACGCCTCTGAGTCGCGGATTTTGTCTATAGCGAGCCCATCTATGATTCAGCCCTTCTTTCGTGAGTTTCGATGCTGACACAGCCGCTACCCCTTCGGCTTGCCATTCTTTCTCGACAACAAAAAGAGAAGTTTACTTCGAAAGGGTGCTTGATGGGGGCAACCCACGGCTCGCGGCTAAGCCATTTCACGTCTGCTTGCCTTCGCCCTCCTCCAAGTGTGCTGAACTGGCTTGTACACCATCTCTTTCCTGGCGGTTGATTTCCCTTACGATCAATCCGCTGTTTTGAACACAATCTCAGAGAGAGGGCGCAGACAAGCAGACATGTCTGCGCTCTCTCTCTAGAATAGTCGCGCCGCTTCCCTCCTCTGCCACGACTACGTTTAACCCAGCAAGCGCTCTAATTGTTAGGCTGTCGAAGAGAGAAGACAACAGAGGACAAGAGGATTTATTTTCAACTTCAATAGTTGTTATACAATTTATACAAATGAGGAAGACTCGTCGTTTAATAGCTTTAATACGCAAAAACATCAAATTAGTACGCTTTAATGTTTCTTAGTTACTAGTACGTAGTCATGTAGAATACAAATTAATTTCAATTTTTTTTCTTCGTGCGATCTCTTCAGAATCCTTTGGTCGCTTTGACATAATCTTTCGTAAACGTCTCAAGATATGGTATTACACTATCGTCCAGATATTTGGCATGTTTTAAGTACAACAACAATACTTGATGAATGTATAGATACTGATGTTCTGTCTGCAAGTATAACAGTACATTCCGTATACCAGAAATGGTGAGGGGGAGGTGCTTGGCTGCGTGCTTCATTCGAGCACACTTTGGCGTGAGATGCGTTTTTGGTGATCATTTCCACGCAAGACAGCTGTCTTTCTGTCTTATACAGGACAAAAACATAGCTGTAATTGTCCCGAAGCGGCAATGTCCTATAAACGCACAGCCGCCACCATCCTTACATTCTATAAACCACTAATTCTGTGTGTCGGTTTGTCGGTATGTATGTATGTATGTATGTATGTATGTCTGTCCGTCCGCAAAATGCTTCACGGGTTCAAACACGTCAGTGTAGGATAGGAGAGTGTACGACCGCTAGCCGGTGGCGAAACCAGTTGGTGCAGATGTATCAATCCAATGTTTTGATTGTGATAACACCCTGCACTATATAAGAGAACATGTAGTGCACTCCAAACCATTGCACGAGCTGCTCGCGTGGCAGGTGGACGTGAGCACGTGCAGGCGGCCGGGATGGGGAGGGGTGGGCAAGTGGGAGTGGGGAGGGTATAATGTGGGTGGGGCGGTGCGGATTAAGTGAGGAGAGTAGGAAGGGAAACATAGAGCGCGTTAGTAGAAATCGATCACAAAGTGTGTAATAAAAGCGCCAATGAAAGCGATAAGGTGAATAGAGGAAGGATCAACCGCTAGCAAGGGTCGCGAATAAAATCCATGTTTTGGTATCACTTTGAGGCAATGTGTGATTTGTGTGATTGTGTGATTGTTTATGGTCTTTTTACAACCTCACTATGTAAAAGAATCATGTAGTGCACTATAAGTGAGCTACTCGTATGAACATATTGGTCAAAGATTGTTGACTATCTGTATAAAAGAAAAGCCGGTGAGGAGAAAGATAAGCGCGGCGGAGCCGGGCCTGCTCAGCACCATTCTTTATCTCAGAAGAAGGCATGCAGGCATCAGCCGGCAAAGCGGCTAGGTTGTTCAAATTAGCTGCGCGAACTGAGCCCACTCTACTCCTGGGACTAAGGAGTGTGTACAGTTGCTCACGCCTTACTGCACGAGCGGCGACTCTGCGCGGCGCACCGCGGGAACTTATCACACGCGCTTGGCAGCAGATCAAGAGCGAATGGCTGGTTGCTCACGATCGGTCGCGAATGGGCAGACCTCTACTGACGGTTGGAAAGTGCTTGGCCGGCAGGTTAGGGTATGTGGCAAGAAAATCGCCATATGCAGCGGGGGGCATAAACCAGTGACGCGAGTTGAACTGAAGAAGAGTTGTCCTATCCTGACCGTTTCGAAATTTAGCGTGAAGACGACGAAAGATTGGTATATCACACGAAATGGAAGTCATGCCTCCGCTTAAATTCTTATGAGTTTCGCTGGGTCATCAGATTGCTGCACATCGAGAATTTGCCGCGAACGGTGGCACGGTGCGTCGCGTGCGACGGCGCGGCGAATCAAGACTGTCTCGTCGCCTCTCCGTCAGGCACGGCTCACCCAGCGATCAAAATGGGCGTACTATCTAGCTTTCACTCTATCACAGGCGTGTCGGGATTGGGTCTAATATATATGAGGGAGGCGGGATGCGGCATTCGAGTCGGCTCTGCTGTCCTGTCGACCTCTGGGGCCGAAACAGTGATTACACCTTTTGTTGTTTCCTGGTTCAGCGTCAAGATCAGCAAGTGGGCTATCCTGGAGCGGCGCCTGAAGCTGTCCACCACACGCATTGCCATGCCAACTCTCTCCTTTCTATTTAGGTTCCGCGAAAGTTCTTTCAGGCGTTTCGGGCACTTCTACTTTTTTGCACATTCACTGCTGATAAAAAACATCCTGCCTTGCTTCTCAGTAGCACATCCTGTAGAGAATTTCTTGCGCTATCTGAAGGTATGAATTGCAGTTTCACCATTGCTTTATAAACCCCCTTTTTTTCAAGATTTTTTCAAGGCATTGTTGAAAAGAGCACTTCGGACGACTTTTTTCTTCGACTATAAATTGGGGCAATCCGCAATCGAAACAGCTCAACAAATTAACCAGGTGTGGGGGCCCAATAGTGCTAGAGAAAGCACTGTGCGGCAATGGCTCAACAAATTTCGTTCTGGAGATTTCAGCCTTGAAGATGAACCTTATAGCGCGTCGACGTAAGGCATATATCGTTGACGAGCATTGAAGAGGCGATTCGGAGGCTGACCCAATTTCCACAAAAGTCAGTTCGGAGAGATAGCAAGAGAGGCTAGGCCCTTGGCTAAATTCACCTGCTGGCAGGATGTCTGAGAGCAGCATGTGAAGGGAAAAAACCTGACATTTGGGTCCGCCACAATCGCCCCCCACCATCGGAGTGACCGGCAGGAATCGGCACGTCTCGAGGTTCCTTCTGCATTGCTTTTGCGCAGCAGAAACGACCTGTTTTTGGGCCGAATTGTCACCTGTGATGAAAAATGGGTCATGTATGATAACAGGAGACGTTCCGGACAGTGGTTGGATTTCGACGAACCACCGAGGTTTTTAAAGCCGAACCCTCACGAAAAAAAGATTCTGGTCACGGCTTGGTGGTCATCGGCTGTGTGATCCACTATAACTTTTTATCACCAGGCCAAACCATCACAGCAGAACCCTACTGTGAAGAAATCGACGAATTGTACCGAAAATTTTGTCAGATGCAGCCAACTTATCAAAAGAAAGGGTCCGATTCCTTTGCATGACAACGCCCGCCCACACGTTTCACAAATCACTATCCATAAATTGAACGAATTGGGGGTTGAAGTTCTACCTCAACCGCCATATTCTTCAGACCTTTCGCCAACCGACTATCACCTTTTAACATTTTCAGAACTTCCTTGCTGAAAAATACTTCATCAATTAGGACCAGGCAAAAAAGACCCTCGTAGATTTCGTGGATTCTCGACCACCCAGTTTTTTCTTTGATGGGATTTCTCGACTGCTGTCACATTGGCAAAAGTGTGCTGATTCGAATGGTGCCTATTTCGATTAAATCCGATGAGTATTAAAAAAGTTACGATCGTTTAAAGTGAAACACCCAAAACGCTGAGAACTTTCCGGACAACCTAATAATTTATACCATGTCTAGGTCGCTTTTTGCTGAGCTGCGCTGCTCTACTGTCCTCAGATATGAATTGTACCTTACCCCTCAGATATGGCCTGTACCCCTAATCCGTAGTCAGGGGGAGGGATGATATTGTTCAGAAGGAAGTCGTAAGGGAGAACAAAAGCCGGTCTCTGAACAAAGCCCTTGATACGCTACTTGATCTACCAGCTAGCCCATCGCTCGATTGGTACCTTACCCGGGAGGTCTTGCTTAATGCCTTTTCCCCGTCAGAGTGGCTCGAGTGCGACTGATTAGGCAAACCTGTATGCTGTTATTCCGCTGCTTGCGCAATTCGAGCAGATAGGTGGAGATCTCCAGTAAAGGCTGATTTCGTTGCAGAAGTTCTAGAGCGTGTTGAATCAGCACTATTGATCCAGTTCGACCAATACCTGCCGAGCAGTGGACGATTATTGGAGTTCTGAACAGAACAGCACTTTGTTTCGGGAGTTTTCTGATCAACCGAATGATTGTGAGAACTCACATGCTATCTTTAAGTTTACCAAGTAATGCTATCGGTGCTAAATCAGCCTCTGGAACACCTCGATCTGGCCAATCTAACCAATGATAGTGTGCGCAGGTATGTATGGGTTGTCCGGGAACGGTCACGTCCAAATGTGTAACCTGGACCCGAACTCGGGTTTCGAATGGAAAACTGAACTGAAACAATATGATGTCAACTAAGAGGCTGAGATTCTCTGCGACAGTTCTTGTTCATACCATCTCCTGCTTCCTAAAAGACACATACACGTCGCCCTCGAAAGCCATTGGAGGTCCATCTTGTGTGGGGAAGTATTCCGCACACTTTTTGGCATTCTGAATGATTAAAACATGAAGGTTGCGTTAATACTTTGCGGCAGCGTCTACCAACGTCTACCAGCGTCCATCAGTGTTTACAGCGTCCCTCGGCGTGAGCGATTGGAAAAGCACATATATCGATCTAGCGAACGGCAGCATCTACCAGTGTCTGCCTGCATGTCCGCGACCAGGAGTAGAGGATGTGGAGAAGAAGGGAGGGGAGGGGGTTGGAATGAGACTTTTGATGTATGGGGAAGTATTGAGAAGTATGGGGAAGTATTAGCGAGGATACAGCTGGATTAGGCGTCATGAAATTGTGGCGTGTGCAATAGCACCGTACTACTACACAACACCGTACTCCTGGTCGCTAGTGGGCGCTGGCAGATGTTGGCAGACGCTTCAGATGCTGGTGGACTCTGATGAGGTGGATGCTAGATCGATATTCATGCTTTCTCAGCCCACAGACGCTGATGGTCGCTGGCTTTCAAACGCTGGTGGACGCTGGGTCACGCTGGTAGACGTTGCCGCTGGCTACATCAACATCTATACTCTCTTAGCCGCTGACCCTGACAAACGCTTGAACACTGATGGTTGGACGCTGCCGCAATGTATGAACGCAGTTTAGGTTTTCCCGAAAGCGCCGTTCCTGCTTGCTTGATGAGCAGAGTCAGGCTTGCAGCTGTGTCCTCCGCATGGGCCGCGCTGCTCCTCTTGACCATGGTCCATGGGTGGAGGGGCGCCCCACTGAGGAAGAAAACTGTTGTTCTGTCTCCGCCCAAACAGCTAGCGTGAACATTGCCTTCAGATATGTTTCTTGGACCCCCCCCCCCCACAAATCCTATCCGCAGCCTCATCGTGGCGTGGGGGTGAACGGTTTTGGACTGTTCCAAAAACGTACCAATGCGGAGGGTGCCACGTCAGAGCCTGGCGAGCTACGCGTGGTT